ACATGGTATCAAATCTCCACCACCCTTGGGTTCTATGGCATAAGCAAGCTACCATGTGGCACCTACGTAGGTCACAGCGTGAGCAACCGTTGCGAGAAAAGTGTCTTAGTCATTTTTCTTTTAAAGGGTCTTCCAAGGACAGTGTCGGATGACACGAGTGTGTCAACATTGTGCTCAACCCATTTGTCGGAGGTTGGTATATACACCCGCTATCTGGTACAAAGTCCATAAATGACATGGCATGGACACAGGAAGGTTCATGTCCCGCTAGAACCTAAATGGATGGATGATCAAGATATTTCGTATCTATAATCGACACAGGGGTTAATTTTTGATAGACATGTCCGATTAAGCTAAAATGGTCGAGCTGCCCCGAGACATTGAATGGCATAACAATACATGGATTGTGTGGTTGGAAACCAAGATGATAATGAGATACTACGTTACTTGTGAGAGACCTTACATACATGGGATACAATACTTGGCCTAAAATAAAGGCAAGTCAACTAAAGTTTCGCTGAACATGCACACTTGGGTAGAGTATGTGGTTAAATAAATCTGAATTCCTTCTAAGTTGTGTTTGGTTAGCGAAGGCAAACCTCGTCTAAAGTCCAACAAAGTCACGAAATTGGACGAAAAATGTAAACAAGTCTTAAGTTCCCGTTCATGCATGAACGGACTTCTAAAGTGGTGCATCGTTAAATAGAGGGGCATAAGCATAGAGATCAACTAGTTCTGCCAATAATGATGAGCCAGCAACCTAAGGAGCCTATTTAAGACCATAAAGATTTTTATACAACAAACAAGCATGAGATAAGAAAGATTTATGGTGAAAACTAGGAGGTTGAGACACATACGGTAACGATAAGGGTTTCAAAAAAGGCAAAAAAAAAACCTTAAATCTCACCGAAATGGTGGGATTTCTGGTGAGGCACACCTTGCCAGTAAGGGCGTATTAATGCCTTGAGTCCCCATATTAAACCCTAGGTAACTTAGTAGCAGTCTTTTACTTTCGAGTCACCATCGTACCTGTGAGGGAGGAGCCGAAAGGTTAGGTGAGGGATCGACAACATCGTGAGACTTTGGACTTCTGTGAGCCCGTAGGTAGTAGCAAACCGACACTAGGGTACTTCGGGACAAGCGGAACAAACGCATCGCCAAGGACGACGGTGGTCTCATCGGCAACGGCAGTTGAACTCTGCGATTAGGGTTCATTGGGATCCTCGAGTGAAGAAGACGCAAAGTCGAGTCGGGTTTCGGCCTTTGAACCGGCCCACGGAACGAACGCGGGCCCTGTGCGTTTCGGCCCAACACGGATGCGTGCTGCAGCCTTGGTCTCGACTCTGTACGCGTGCTCTCGGCTCGGCTTGACGTGTACGGCATCTCGGCTCCGGCAAATCCCGCAGCTCGGCTTGGCGGCTTAGTTGGTCAGCTCGGCAGCTCGGCTTGGTGACTCGGTATCACTATAATATATCGATTCCAAGGTTTTCGACCCTTCCGAAGCCGTTTCTGCCCTTAGTTTTACCATCGGAGGTCAATATAGTTCCTAAACGTTAAGGACAGATTAGGTCGGGGGTTTATTTTGATAAATAGCATGAGGTTTAGCTGGGGTATGTTATGAAAGGTTCCTAAGTTTTTTATGTGGTTATCATAGGACATATTTAACTGCTGAGATTAGCTCGTTGTGAGTGACTTCAACCGAGACCATCAAAGTGAGTGCCCTTACTGTTGACGTTAGTTATGTATGTATGTTGGTGCGTGCCCTGTGGCCCTTGCATGCACCATGTGTTGTTAATGTATACTAGGTTAGATGTTTTTTTGAAGTGAAATGCTATGTATGCCATATTTATGTATATGATTCTAGCAGTGAAATGCTATGTATGCCATGTTTATGTATGTGATTCTGGCTGTGAAATGCTATGTATGCCATGTTTATGTATGTGATTCTGGCAGTGAAATGCTATGTATGCCATGATTATGTATATGATGTTTGTGACACGGTTTGTTACCCTGTATGTATGAGCTTGATTGACATGCCATGATTGTAATGAGAACCTCGCATGCCATGAATGAGATGACTAGTATGCTATGATATGCTTGCTCGATGTTGACCCAATTATGCTATGTAATGCGGCGAGGGGATGGAACGTTGTATGTATAATGCTATGGAGGTAAACCTTAAGAACCTCATGCACGCTATGGTTATGTACTTGGGGCACTCCCCCGTTATGCTACTGATGGTATGGACGCGTATATTCGATATTGTGTTCGCCACGATATCATGCAGGCCCTCCTTTGTCCGTAGCGTCCGGTATTGTATGTCATACATACCCGACCAAGCCAGGCCCAGGGAGTTCGCTTGCGAGCTCGCTTGGTGGGCCCACAGTCACACACGTGGGCTATGTGTGGAAAAGTACCATGCATCCACCCCCGCCCGGACAAAGCAAGGGCTAAGGTCATGGGAAGGAATGGAAGACAGACCCCTCTCTCAGTTTTCCTTCTTTTGACACTTGTGCTTATGTATGTGTGTCGTATGCGATCGTGTGTATCCTAATGTATGATTATATGCTTAACTCCAACAATGGGGCGACTTACTAGGTATTTCATATAATACTCAAGCCACGTGCTACCCATATTTTCAGGTAAGGGCAAGGCCCCCATGTACGGCTGACGGTGGATGCTGCGAAGGCCATGAAAGTCTTAAGGAGGGTTTGTAGTGTCGTCGACGTCTTGTGGGATTCTCTCGGTTATTAGTTATTGCAATTGTCCCTCTAGTTATCCGTTGTTTATTTCTAGGTTAGGCTGTCGTTATTGTTTTCCCCAGACATGAACTGCTTATAATAATGAACGTATTGGCAGTTTTGAGGCTATCTTACATAAACTATCGCACTTTCGTTATATGATTACAAGGTAACGTCACTATTTAGGCTAGAGAAAATTAGGGGCGTTACACATACATAGAGAAGTGAAGGTGAGGCGGTATCCAAAGTGGATTAGGACAGGGTAGGGTCAGGTTGGAAACAAAGAATGTAATCTCCATCCCATCTCAATTTAGCTAACAAATTTCTCCGCTACCTCCACTATTTCCCGCTTAAACTAGGGGTGTACATTCAACCCGACAACCCAGACCAACCCAACCCGAACTATAAGGGTTGGGTTGAGTTGGATTAGTATTTCGGGTAGGGTTGGGTTCATTTTTCTGAACCCGAACTGAATCGGTTCGGTTTCGGGTTCATGGGTAAAAGTTTCGGATTGACCCGAGCCATAAAAATATTTAAAATATATTAAGAATACATTTGTAGGATGGGATAAATAAAACTTAAAAAAAAATTGACAACCCAACCCGAAAATAGAGGGTTGGGTTGGGTTGGGTTGTGGAAAGTTTCGGGTTGGGTTGGGTTACCCATCCAACCAACCCGAACTTTTGGGTTGGGTCAAAAAAATCATCCAACCCGACCCAACCCAGACCATGTACACCCCTAGCTTAAACAAAGATTCTCTGTCTCTCCATTTGAGACAGGTCTCTATTAAACTATGAGACTAAATCTTTCACTAAAGTTAAATCCTTCAACCAAACGATACGTCTTAGCGACTAACCTTGCCTTACATCGAGCAGTAGAATTGACGGCTAATACGTCTTTGTCAATTGATTTAGCAACTAATAATAAATCTTGGCGACTAATCTTATTCAGGTGTAGGTTTTGAGCCCAACTCTTCTAGAAAACACTCCGTACTTTCATTTATTAATCAATATGAGATTACAAAGACACTTTGTATAAACTACTACCATAGAAGCTGAACGAAGATATTTATTTTTATGCACCATTATTTCCTCATCTTTTCAACACGACATTGTAACCTCTTCGAATAACTTTACCGATCTAGTTTGGTTTAGTTCTAGTCAGTTTGGTGGGGGAGTCACTACTCATGAACATTCAAGAAAGTAGCCACGTAGAAAGAAGGATTCAAAAGGACTAGGTTAAGAAGAAGTTATAAATACAAAAAGTACACGTGTAAGGTATTGACAGGGTCCACCGTGAAGAGTCCACGTGGCTTTCTAATTCGCATGCCAGATCACGATGAGATGACAGCCGAACGCGCCTACCAGTTGTCCTCTGTCCTATGACGATAATTTATCTATATTTTTTTTTTAAAATAAAAGCAATAAAATTTGGAAAAATTAACTTGTATATTTCATTGAAGTAGATGGAAGTTGGTTGATGTGGCTGCACCTTCCAAGTCACGAGTGACCTCATCAATGCCGATAATTTTGACCCTTTACTATTTTTTTAATCATTAAATATCTCTTTTTTTTAAAAAAAAATAAATCGCTTGATCTACTTGCTTGCTGGGTTGGAAGGAACGGATCAGGCAGGCAGTAGGAAGACTCACTCAACTAAAGATGAATCAGAGTGAACAGTCAGTCTCGACTCAACTCCTTATGAGAGAGAGTTTACGGGACAGGCAGGACTATTACTTCTTTCTCCTTTCTTGCTCACCTGCCTGCGGTTAGAAGGAACTTGCTTGCCAACCCCGAATCCTCATAATTTGGAGGCTTCAAGCATGTCCTCAACTTTTGAAGTCAAAGGTCCCGCGAACTACACCTACGAGTATTTGTGGGTTAGGTTGAATTGAGTTAAGTTGAGCAATTTTTTAGACTCAATCCAATTATTCAGAGCGGTAAATGTTTTCAACTAAACAACCAACCAAACCCAACTGATCCAACCAAATTTTTTTGTGTCCTTAAATATTTAAAAAATTATTAGACACAAAATTTAAAAAAAATATATATTTTTTGGCGTGAACCAATTGAGTTCAAACATGAGTGGGTTTTGCCACGTAACCATCTCTTTCCTTTACTCATTAATTGAATCTTACTTTCATTTAATTTAGTCTCCAACCAATCACCACCTCTCTTCCAACCAACTACTCATCTCCATGCCCTAAGTTTTTAATGCCATTTTCTCTCTATTTATATACATTCCTCTTTCCATATCAACATCTCATTCCTCCATTTGGGTAACACATATTGCCAATGGCTCCTTCATCACCCAACAATGTCGTGTGTGTTATGGATGCTTCGACCCCTCTCGGCATCGCCCTCGTTGACCGTCTCCTCCATCTCAAGTTCACCGTCCACGCCGCTATTCACTCGAGTATCAGCGAGTTCATGTTCAATGGATATGACAATAAGAGCCTCAAGATCTTCCACTCTGACCCGTTTGATTACCATAGCATAGTCGATGCGTTGAGAGGGTGTTGTGGCTTGTTTTACACGTTTGATCCTCCTCGACACCAACCCACCTTTGATGACGATGTAAGTTTAGCTCTTCTTATTTATATTTGTATAAACGCCCTAAAAATATTGATGAAAATTATGGTCAAAATATTGAAGGAAATGATGGTGATGGGAGAGATGGAGGTGAGAGCGGCACATAATGTGTTGGAGGCTTGTGCTCAAACTGACACTATTGATAAGGTTGTCTTTACATCTTCTGTCGCCGCTGTTATTTGGGGGCAGGATCGTAATTCCACATCTATTTCTCATTTAGATGAGAGATTCTGGAGCGATGTCCACTTTTGCCGCAAATTTAAGGTATTAACATTCCTTCTCGAAAAAGTTAGGTCGAAATTGTTTATAAAATAAAAAAGAGATGATTTGTGAAATTTAACATAAATACCAAATTAAAAATATGTGAATTGAAGTATTTAAATTACAATTATGCCCCTGAATGCATTGAACAGCTGTGGCATGGGCTGGCAAAGACGCTAGCAGAGAAGACTGCATGGGCATTAGCTAGGGACAGAGGAGTCAACATGGTATCGGTCAACGCAGGGCTGTTGGTGGGCCCCGATTTGACCATTGATAATCCGTATTTAAAAGGAGCGGCGGAGATGTACGAAAGTGGATTGTTTGTGACCGTTGATTTGAACTACTTGGTGGAGGCCCACATTCGTGTGTTCCAAGATCTCTCATCGTACGGTCGGTACATCTGTTTCAACCACGTCATCAACACCAATGATGATGCAGCTGATCTCGCCCGCAAATTGACGTCTTTGCCCCCAGGGTTAGTGCCTTTTTTTATTTATTTATTTAGTTTTCCATTATTTCTTATTTATTTATTATTTATTTTTTAATTATGTTGATTTACAGAGAAGAGCAGCAATTTGCGAGGGAGATTCCACAGAGAATAAGCAACAAGAAGCTGAACAAATTGTTGATGAATTTTAAGGGAGAAGAGCAAATAGATTGAAGGATAGTTCAATTTTATTTTTAAAAAATAAAATAAAAATGTGTATATGAGAGATATGAGAAAAGTGTCTCGATGTTGTATGTATTAATTATGTAATGGCCCACGCTCACCGCTAGCAGATACTGACATATCGGTTTCCCCTTCGGGGCCTAGTGTCCTTACTGGCACATCGGTTCGTGTCTATCCCCCTTTGGGGAACAACCTTCTCGTTGGCATATAGTCTAGTGTTTGACTCTAATACCATTTGTAACGGCCTAAGCCCACCGTTTGCAGATATTGTCTTTTTTGAATTTTTTGTTAGGCTTCCTGTTAAGGATTTAAAAGGTGTCTGCTAGTGAAAGGTTTTCACACCCTTATAAAGGATATTTCGCTCTTCTCCCCAACCAACGTGGGATTCTCACAAATTACTACGGGAGACAAATTTTTGGATCTATTTTCAATGATTTTAAAGAAGCAACCACATTGTGGCCAGAGACCGTCCATTTAACCACACAGACGTGGAATCTCTGTTTAAAAGGAAAATGAGACGAAGAGTGGAGAGGAATTTCTAATCGCTAACTAAATGTGGCCGGCGAGAAAAGGCAAGTCTATTAGATGCCTTAGGAAAGCGTGTGCAAGTTTCTTATTGTTAGGAACAACTTTGGACATTGGTATGATGTTGTCTATCTTGAGTATAGACGCTCGTGGTTTTTACTTTTGGTTTGTTCAAAAGATCTTATACTAATGGAGATAGTATCCCTTCTGTATATACTCATGGTTTTCCCCTTATTAAACAATGTGAGACTCTAACAAGCCTCAACAATTCTCCTCTCGAACAAAATACACCATAAAGCCTTATTCGAGGCCTCTTCTCTAGAGCCCTTCAACAACCTTCCCGTAATTGAGGCTCAACTCTCCTCGAAAGTCTTCGGATGAAGTATGCCCTTTATTCAACACTTGAGTCACTCTGACTACACTTTTGAGACTCACAACTTTTTTGTTCGACACTCGAGAATTATATTGACATGATTAAGTTAAGATAAGGGTATGAATGTATATCATGTTGTTGAACACAAGCCTTTGTGGAAAACATTCACACTTTTATTAAGACCAATAAAAAAGAAGTTACAAGACACTTTGTAGAATACTACTACGTATTGCTTTGCTTGGAATAACTTGTGACGAAATATCTAGACAATGAACTCACACAATTATTGGACTTGATCCTATTGAGCTAATTATGATATTTTAACACTCATTTCTACTAGTTCACATTCACGGTACCACGTTGATCATCTGTTTTTTAATGATAGTTGTGTTGACATACTTAGATTTTGACTTTTGAATTCTTTTCGATCGTCTAAGTTGTTGAGGTACTGGTTTTTTTTTCACTGAATTCACCTCCTCAGCACTAATCCTCATTCATCGTACCACGTTGGTCATCCGTCTTTTATAATAGTTGCAGTGAAAACTTAGGATTTGACTTTCAAATTCTTTCCGACCATTTAAGTTGTTTTGATATTTTTTTTTCTTTTCATTGAGTCACTTCTTGCTCAAGAACATAAGTATCACTTGGATCTTCAAGTGCATTAACACTTGACCAAATGTGTGTAATTTGCTCTCCCATCTTCTGTGGTAGAGTTTTTTCTATGCTGTTTGAGTCTGTCAAGACTTTCTTCTTCGAGGAACACCACGAAGATATTTCATCAAACCTATATCTCTCGTGGTGTAACATCTTCCAATTGTTGGATCACTAACACTTCTATTTCATCAAATCCTTGGACTTAGTGACATTTTTCCTGCAATTGTAGCAAATACTTTCAAATCTCTTCCTTTGAAAACTTTTGTTGTCGTTCTTCTAAGCTCTCCAAGCTTATGCAGCTTCTTAGTGACTTCTTCTTTTGCCAGCATTTTTGTATCCACCTGCACTTCTTCGTCACCCTTCAACGTGACGACTTTCATTGCTTAGCCATTGCTTTTTGGCTGGCTAGCAAATTTTTAAACTCTACAAGTGATGATTGAGCGGATCATCCATGTACAGTAATAATGAAGCTTCTATACTCTGGTTGCAATTTGTGGATGATGATTCTTTGATGATCTTTTTATTTGAGCTGCTCTAATGATAGACTCTTAATCTAGTTCAGTAATCTCTCAACAAATCGATTTGACCTTGTGGAAGTATTGAGCGATCGCCATATCGCATTGTGAGATTGATAACAACTTGTTATTCAGAAGTTGTAACCTTGTATGTTTTTATTTGAGAAAAGCATCTCTATCGTGTCTCATACTCTTTCGGTATCTTGTCATCTTGAATGTGCTCCAATATCTCTTCTTCAAATGTGTTTTTCAAGGTAAACATTGTCTTGCATTTCTTCACTTCCTTGTAGATAGGACATCATGCATGTCCTGCCCACATGTTATAGTTATTGCCGTTGAGTTTCTTGATTCCTCCAATGACTTGGAGATCGCCCAATCGTGTTGGTTGATATGAAGAAACTTATTCACTAATAATCTCAATAAATCATTCCTGATGCGAAAGATTAGCCAAACCTGCCACCACAAATCATACTAGGAGTTTGAAGAGATATAACAACCTATACCATCTCCCTTGATACCAGGTTAGAAACAACAATCCTCACATTGGTATGATATTGTCCACTTTTAGTATAAGCTTTCATTAATTTACTTTTCGTTTCCCCAAAATGATCTTTCCCTTAATTAAATAATGTAGGACTCCAACAATTCTCAACACGCTCATACGTAGAAACTTCTTCAAATTTGCATGAATTAGCTGACCGATCTCCCGTATGAGCAATCATTTCTGAAACTGGTTAGGAATCGACTCCATGAGACTAGCCGAAATCCAACCATCTCTCTCTTCTTCTTCTTCTTTTTTTTTTTTTTTTGAAGGGCATCATAGCATGCTATTATTTTTTTTCATGGTAGTCTCGAAACTTGGCGTATGTAATATATGTCAACTTTTGAAAACTTTTGCTTAACTTTGGGCAAATCCAACCATGTTATTATTATTTTTCATTGATTATGTTTGAAATAACTTTACTAGCGTTTAAGCCTATGAAAATGTTTAAAAGAAAAATATTTTAAATGATTTTTTTCATATAATATTCATGACGTACATATACTAACAAATAGAGTATGATTTCTTAAGAATACATATTCACATTAAATAAATCATGAAAGAAAACTCTAAACAAATGAGATTTTCAATTAAGTTGGACTTTTTTAATTCATCACAAGCAACTTTGTGGCATAAGTACTCCCATACTTGATCCACCAACGTTGTTGCATGTCGATGTCGTTGCCTTGTTGTTATACGTAAGCTTGATGTCCTCCAAACGTATGTCACCACATGGATTGGTAGGGCTGCAATCAAATGTTATAGCCTCTGATGTTGCTGATGTTCCTCCAATGTTTTTATACGCCACATCGCTAATCTTCACTCCAGCACTCTTTAAAACAACAAAAACAACACTTTATTAGTTTATTCCAACACCAATTAATGGTTTGATGTACTTGTGAAATGACAACAACTTAGTTACCTGACCAGGACAACCTTCATTGTCCGGACAATAATTTTGATCGATTATGATGGGATTCTTAACATTGTTCATAACGATGTTCTGAAACACAACATGTTTCACGAAGCCATTGCCAGGCCTTGCCCACGTCTTTATCCTCACACCATTATCGGATTTAGTGAACACTGCATTCATCAATGTTACATTTTGGACGCCTTGTTCGTCAAACTCTTTTCCCAAGCTCCCAATGCTGCATTATTTATTATTATTATTATTCTTATTATTTGAGATTAGATCATAAAAATGTTTGATATGTTGTAAAGAATTGATTCATTACCTTACGCCATGGCCAGGCCCACATTTGATATGAGTCATAAACAAATTCTTAGTTCCATCTCCAATGGATATGCAATCATCACCAGTTTGGATGGTAGTTCCTGTGATGGTTACATCGGTTGATGACTGCACATGAATGCCGTCAGTATTGGGGCTTTGGTCGGGAGCCATTATCTTCACATTCTTAACCAATACATTATTGCAACTGTTAATTGTAATATGAGACTGCCGGCTATTGAGTGATGTCAGCCCACTTAATATGATGTTGTTCGCCCAATTGAATGTTATTGACTGCATCAATTTACCCAAAAAAAAAAAAAAAAAACATGTTACTAACGAATGTCGGGATAGAGTCCCACGTTGACTAATTTACAGGATGATGATGAGTTTGTAAATGAAGAATACATCTCCATTGGTATGAGGTCTTTTGGGAAATCCCGAAGAAAAGCCATAAGAGGTTATTCTCAAAGTGGACAATATCATACCATTGCGGAGAGTTGTGATTTCTAACATGGTATTAGAGGCATGCCCTTAACTTAGTCATGTCAATAGAATCCTCATATGTCGAATAAAGAATTGTGAGCCTCGAAAGTATAGTCAAAAGTAACTAACGTGTCGAGCAAATTGTGTACTTTGTTCGAGGGCTCCAGAGAAGGAGTCAAGGGTTCTATAAAGATGTAGTCAAAAGGGACTAATGTGTTGAGCAAAGGGTGTACTTTGTTCGAGGGCTCCAAAGTAGGAATCGAGGGTTCTACAGACCTCAAGAGAGGTTCTATGGTGTACTTTATTCGAGAGGAAGATTGTTGAGAGGGATAAGTATGGAGAATAGAGATGTATTCGTACTAGGCATTTTGGGAAAGCCCAAATAAAATCCAGAAAGGTTATGGAAAAAGTGCAAGGACATTTAGGGTAATTATATTAATAATTATATGGTTAAGGTTTAAGACGACATACCCTAGCTCCCGGTGGACAATCCTTTCCAGAGTCCCTGCAGGCCCAATACGAAGCGCCCTTTGCGTCAATGTTGCCGCCGAAGAAAGAAACATCGTTAACTTTAATGAACAAAATCCAATACCCAGAACTTCCAAGGGCACGGTAGTCTAGAGGTGCCACAAGGGTTCCATTCAAACGGAATGTAATCTTGTTGTTACATGGCCCTCTGAATGTGATGGGTTTGAGCAAGAATCTTCCCTTAGGGACATTGATGGTGGACGGCGTGGAGGAGCTGCAGGCCGATGTCCATGCCTTGAGAAAGGGTCGAGTCGAGTCGGTTTTACCGTTGGGTTTTGCTCCATAAGTAATCACATTGTAAGTGGCTGCACTCGAGAGTTGAAGGAAGAAATAGATGGAGGAGATGATGAGGAGTAATGTTTTGATTGTGTAGGCCATTTTTGGAGAAGAGAAGATGATGGGATATAAGAGGCATAACAAATGGAATGTGTTATTTATAGTGAAAGAAAATGGAGTGACATGCACTTCTCCATGTGCATGAATGTGCCTAATTGAGGTGGCGGCTGATAAGCGGTGGTTTGATTAAATTGAGGGAAATCTGCGGTGGTTTGATACATACATTCTTGTGTTTTCTATTACGTAAACAATAAGTATTATTGTTTGAATACTCAACTAAATACGCCGTTAACTTTATGTTGAATCTATGGTATGGATATTTACAACATTTTATGGCATAAACACCACTGCTTTATTTGCATTGTGATGCACGGTCTCCAAACTAATTAAATATATGATAATGTTATTGATTGAAAGTACAAAAACAGCCATTCATACGCTCGGTTTTCCCTTGAATCCGAAGGCACACCAACATAA